AAGCATACTCAACTATGTAAGGATTTTTGCATTTTCGCTGTCGCCATCTCCTGGTGTTCGTTAGATCTATCAAGTAAAATTAGGTCATGACGGACAAAACTGTGTCAATGTCAAGGTCGTATCGATTTCGGTTTCCGCTTTCCGGCGAGGACTTTTCTCAGTTGGCCATGATTCTTCTCCCAAGGTGGTTGTCCTCGCAGCAGCAGCAGCAGCACGCGAACTAGCTGGTGAGTCCATGTTTTTTCTTGAAATCTTTTGGTAGCATTTCAATGCTGGAAATCTTCATCCCTTCAAGGTACTATTTATTCTGCTCACCTTTATGGGGCCTAACTGAGTTGCCCAAATGAAGCATAAGAGACCCAGACGTCCCGACCACGTGACCCTCATGCCGACCAAACCTTCATCGCCACGTTTCTGTTCCCCGATGTTCATCCAGGTTTTTTTGTTAAAACCCTCTATCCAAAAGAGGTGAGTTATTTTGCCTCCCCATCAGTGATCCAGGCGGTCTCTATACGCCCCATAATTTATTTTAGGGTTTTATGTTGGAGTGATGAATGCCGCACATCCACGTGCTCATCAGTACCCCATGTATGGGTGATGTCAACAGCAGCGTTTAACCCCATGCAAGTCCTGAAGGCCATGGTTTTTTCTTCCCTACCCTATGGGATCTTTTCAGTAGGCGCAGGTTTCTGAGTCTCCTCAAACCTGGCCAGTGGTGATCCGTCCAGACACCAATTTTGAAGCTGCCCTTCAATGTCGCCATCCTGTGATCATCTTCCATGTCCAGTAACCGTCGACATCTAGCAAATAACTGCATATTGGATAACTCAGGTTTTTTTTTAGTATTAAGTCCATTGACTATTAATTTTACATAACTTTTACATATTTACATATCAATTATTATGGAGGTATAACTTTTCAAATTTCAACACACTGTATGTTCAAACCCTACTTGAACTTTGGAAATTACATGTATCAGACATGAATCATTACAACGTTCAGCGGAAAATGCGCATATTGACCCCCAAAAATTCATGAATTTTCAGGGTATAATCAACATCATTCAATTATAATAGTCCAATAACAATATTCTTCAAAATGGGTTTATAGGAATTTGAACTAAAGTGTCAATCATATAAGTATCATATCTGATAACATCAGGAATTGAAGAGCTTCCATAATATTCTACTATAATGTATATAATTATTAATGTATTTCATGAAGGAATTTTTCATCATTAAAATTGTGTGTATTTTTGAAGTTTCCATGTTTTTACTGACATCTCTCTCTCTTCAAACTCAACCCACAGGTTCCTGATTTTACCCTAGACGTACTACCTATGTTCTGAAAGAATCAGTGGCGTCCAAAAATTAATTATATACTCATATACATATCAAATTCACAGTCAAGGTGATATTATCTAGTAATTGATTTTAAAATATTGAGATATCTGAGAAATAGCAAAGGTATCAACCCACACCCATATGCCGCCGACGAAAAGCTACCAGGTGCAGTGAAAAAGGTAAATTTTACGTTTCAAAATGATAGAACAGATCGATTTTCATTGGGCTAGAGCATTGAAAATATGCGTATCACTTCTATTTGTGAAATTCGTGCGTTGCGAAGTAATTATTTTCGAAAGAATGGATGTGTTATGAAACTTCCGTTTTTGCTTATAATTTATCGTTGTTTGAAATATTATGTGGAAGTGAGGGGAGAATTTTGAATATTTGATTCCTGATGCTCAATTGTCTGCTTTGTCACAGTTTACAACGACCATATACACTATGAACTTCTTGAAATAAACTGAATTGAAGTATAAAAATTTTTCGAAAACGGTCCTGGATTTTCCTGATTCTGGAAATGTCAGTCGATTAGGGTTTGGTAGAGGAATATAACATGAAAAAATCAAATGTATCGAAGGAGCTGTAGAAGAGTTATGCCAAAAGATGTTTTGACAAATCTCATAATTCACACTATATATTGGTGAAGAGGGGAAGAAGACACTTCCTGATGGTCATAAGGTATTCCCCTCAAGGGCCTCTATCCGTAGTAGGAGTATGTAGATGACTCACTCTGTAGAACTCGAGCAATCGAGCTCTAACGCACTTATATTGAAAAGTCTGATCAATCACCAGTAGCGCTAGTCCTGACCAATTATTCAAACGTATTATTCATCATATCATCCCCAAATATTATATCTCGTTCTCGTTTCTATAGCGCAAGCTCTGAAGCATTACCAATAGAATAGTTTTCTTCTACACCTTTTTCAATTGCAATTCAGAGAGTGAAAGTTGTAATTCAGAATAGTCGATTGTTACTTAGAAAGTATAGCTTGGAATTCAGATTAGTTAATTGTAATTCAGAAAGCGTTATATGTAATTCAGATTAGTGAAATGTAATTCAGAAAGTGTTACTTGTAATTCAGAATAATGAAATGTGATTCAAAAACCGTCAATTGTAATTCAGAAAGCATAACTTGTGATTCAGAAAGTATCACTTACACACTGAGAGAAAACTTGAGTTATCATAATTGGAAATCTAATAACCGTTATTACGATATCTGCAATTAATAGGGGATGTGTTCATTTGCTACCATAGATGAAGTGAATTTTCAGGTGACTTGTAGTTATGGCAGCTTATTCAATTTGCAAACTTGTATGAAAACACCGCTGCTGAATAACTACTACTTGTTTTAGTTTTTATGATAACACAGAATGTGGAATAGGAATTATTCCCATAAAATGTTGCAGTAACTCTCCACTCTACAGTGGTTATTAGACTTTCGACATAAAACAGCATGTTTTTAGTACTGGCACAACCATCTTGAGGTAACGCAGTAATACGTCTCATTTCATTATAGTTATCTGACATCTGCATGAAACCTGACATTTTGACATGCTATTGTAATATAGCTCATTTTCAACAGTTATCCCAATATATTTTCTACTCTAGTATATTCATCAAACAGTGGTAATTATGTAATTATAAGAATCGATTTCTCAAATCATTTGTAATACCCTTGAATGGACATTTGCTACCATCATAACGCAGGTGTGTTATGACATTATGAGAATTTTATAAATTCCAGTCTATTTGGATTTTTTATTGACATAGCTCGTTTTGTGAATTATGCTCATTGGTGAATTCAGATAATGTTTGTCCCAATAATCATAGCTGTTTGGATTTCTAACATTGTACGATGACGAATAACTCTAGCAATTCACATGTATGACGGTTACTAGGCAATCATTCGACAATCGTAATTCGGCTCATTTTGCTCTAGTGTTTCATTAGTATTGGGGCTGACAAAGATACAGATCGCGTTCATTTCACTGCTGTTCTCGGTCATGGGTGCCCGTGTTCAATTATTGTTCAATGGTTTCGATCGTTCGAATCGATAGAGCCGTGTCTTATAGGTGAATGTCTGTGATGTAGCAAAGTTTTGTTTTAGTGCTGGCTGTGAACCGATCTATGGAATACACCGTGCATTGCATTATTGCAATGAAAAAAGTATTCTCTATACCCACTTTCAACGGCCTAAAATTGGTTTATTTCAAAAATAAAATGATGGATGAGATTCTGAATCAAAATATCTGGGTTTCTGTGAGGGAAGTTTTATTGACAATTCTCATCATAACTCCGAATCGAGGGTGTAAATATAAGTATTCAACTTCTCATTCCTTAATTAATTCGTCAGTATGCTAATAGATGAAATTTTTCAGAAAAAAACAGTGAGTAATGTCATAAAAAATTCCACAGATACCCAAATATTCCAATTCAGAGACTGAACGTATTTTTTTGTTTTTTTGAAAACAATAACTTTGGATCATGAAAAGTGATAGTGTGGATAGGATATTTATTTTCATTGCAGTTATTCAAAGCACGGTTTCATAATGCATACCATCGAATAATGTTGATTAGATAACCTTATTACCACTGTTTGATGAATATACTAGAGTAGAAAATATATTGGGATAACTGTTGAAAATGAGCTATATTACAATAGCATGTCAAAATGTCAGGTTTTATGCAGATATCAGATAACTATAATGAAATGAGACGTATTACTGCGTTACCTCAAGATGGTTGTGCCAGTACTAAAAACATGCTGTTTTATGTCGAAAGTCTAATAACCACTGTAGAGTGGAGAGTTACTGCAACATTTTATGGGAATAATTCCTATTCCACATTCTGTGTTATCATAAAAACTGAAACAAGTAGTAGTTATTCAGCAGCGGTGTTTTCATACAAGTTTGCAAATTGAATAAGCTGCCATAACTACAAGTCACCTGAAAATTCACTTCATCTATGGTAGCAAATGAACACATCCCCTATTAATTGCAGATATCGTAATAACGGTTATTAGATTTCCAATTATGATAAGTCAAGTTTTCTCTCAGTGTATGATTCATAAACTAGGAACAACCCGTTTGCATTCATTCTCCTGGAGGTCCGGGTGTTGGAGAACAACGACTTGTTCATCTATGTAGAACAGAATATTGACCAGGCCAAAGATACAATTGTTGGAGGTGATTGTGCTAGGGCTGCACAACACACCACCATTCACCATGTAGCAGCTCTGGCATTTCAAGATAATATATTTCCGTTGGTCGATAAATATAATGAAATATTGATGTTCACCACACAATGAACCATTCATTGATTTCTATTTTCTACCCTTATTTGAGTCCATAGTATTTATAAATTACAAGTGATACTTTCCGAATTACAGATTACGCTTCATGAATCACAATTGACTATCCTGAATTACAAGTTACACTTTCTGAATTACATTCAACCAATCTGAATTACATGTTATGCATTCCGAATTACAACTGACTAATCCGAATTACAATTCATGCTTTCTGGATTATTATTGATTATTCTGAATCACAAATCACACTTTCTAAATAACAATTGAAAAAGTTGTAGTAATAGTATCTAAATTATAATTTCCATCATGTGACAGGTCTTCTATATATCTATTTTGTCCACAGATGAGAGTTTACCAGTCGTAACTTTACCTGTAGAGGAAGGAAGAAATAATCTCTGGGGTAAAACTAAACACGCCTTCGAATACATTTATAATAATCACTTCGATGATGCTGATTGGTTCATGAAAGCTGACGACGACACGTAAGTGATGAATGAAGTAACACAAATACCAAAACACAGATGACACAATCTCCTTAGGATTCAATAATTTATTCATATGGAAACAAAACTGATTGTCACCAGAACGGTGGAACAGCAATATCATTCATTATCAGATGTGAATTTGAAACTCTTGTATGTATGTATATTTGTATGTATGTATGTATGTATGTATGTATGTATGTATGTATGTATGTATGTATGTATGTATGTATGTATGTATGTATGTATGTATGTATGTATGTATGTATGTATGTATGTATGTATGTATGTATGTATGTATGTATAGGTGTGGGCGGTCCTGGACCTGACGCACTCAGGCCTCTCTTTCCGGGCCCATTGTGCACTCACATTCCTGGGATCGCAAGTCAGCCATGAAGAAGGCCGATCTCGCGGGCAGAAGAGATCAACTTTCTAGACCAAATCTTTTCAACGTCCTCTGGGTCCAGGATACTGCCCCCAAAATGGGTATACCTTGCTGCCACTACTGCCAAACATTCAGTGAGGATGTGAGTAGGAGTATCTTCATCCTCTATGCACCATCTGCATCTAGGATCCACACAATTCCGATCGTGCTGAGATACTTGTTCAAGTGGCAGTGTCCTGTCAGAAGGCCTACTATCAGTTTCAGCTCCCTCCTGTTCAAAGCCAAGAGGGCATTGGTCTGTCTCCGTAACGGATTCCCTATATAGAGTTTGCTCTGCCTCATTCTAGGAGCCTCTCTCCAGCTGTCCTGAAACCTCTTCGTCAGGATTTCCTTCATCCTGAAGTTGCTCCAGGATCAAGTGACCCCCAAGATTGGCTCTGGACTAATCACTGAACCCTTGGCCCACTTTCTGGCCATACCATCTGCCATTTCGTTACCTGGTACCCCTGAGTGCTCAGGGACCCACAAAAGACATACTTTGTTCGTTGCTGACAGTCTTTGTAGGCTATCTATGCACTTTGGCACCAAGGCGGAGGTCATCTCATACGAGGTGAGCGCCTTGATCGCCGCCTGGCTGTCAGTGCATATAGTGATTTGCTGGCTGTGATAGCCCCTCTCGATATTCTCTCGAATACAGGCAAGTATTGCAAACACTTCAGCCTGAAAAATCGTGGCATGTTTCCCAAGGGTAATGGAATGATATTCCCTTGGAGACTGCCCATAGACCCCAGCACCTGCGCATTTCATCATCCTGGAGACATCTGTATACAAGGTAATGCCCTTGGTGGGTATTATGCAGTGCCCATTCTGTTCCCAGTCTATCCTAGTAGGAATTTTGACTTGGGGCATTTTCCTGAATCAAATGATCGGTGTTATACTGTCCCCTTCCATACTGAGTGAGGGGTAGTCTATATACAGGTTCAGAGGTGACAGTCCGGTCAGAGTCTCCAGTGCCCTTGTCGGCGCCGTCCTCAGTTTTTTATCGCTCGGAGCGCACGAAAGGGAATCCTTATGATGTTCAAAGAACTCCTGTTATGGTTATGCTGGCCAGTCATTGAACTCTGTCGAGCAGAATCCCCGACTTGATTGTCAGCGTCCCCGGCCACCATACGATGGCCTCATATATGTTATCATTGGACGTATGAGAGCGGTATACATCCTGTGGAAGATACTCAGCTCGAGCTCCCACGTTCCTCCAAACGTACTCCTGCACGCTCAGAACGCTAACGTAGCCTTCTGGGCCTTTCTCTCAATATGCTCGTTCCAATTGAGCCTAGAGTCAAGAATGACTCCTAGATATTTGGTGGAGCCTCCATATCGCAGAGACTCACCCGATAGTCGTATATCGGGGAGATCCCCTGCCCTGCGTTTTCTGGCGAAAAGTACCATTCCCACTTTGTCAGGGTTAGCTCTTAGGCTCGTGTTACAACATCAGCGGTCCACCCCGTCCAGGGCCCGTTGTGCTCCGACTGGAAGTGAACCCCCTACTGTCGATCAGGATGACTATGTCATCTGCGTAGGCATGGATATAGTATCCCATGCTATGTATCTTCGATAGGAGGTCATCCACGACAAGGCACCATAAAAGGGGTGATATCACCTAGTTGAAAGTTTTCGAAAATGATAATTTCGGGTAGGCAAATATGTTTGCACTGTTACCATATTATCCTTTCGTAATGTCATTCAATCCTGAAGTTTAGTGAAGATAGGTAGGGGTTCTTTATACACTATTTCAAGTTATATACAGGGTGACAAATGTGGAGACTCACATAGCCAAATGGTGAATAGGGAAATCAAGACAAGTTGATGTATACGGGTGTCCCACGGTCTATGGTACTTTAGACGTATACGCAAAGCGAAACATTGGATCATTCTGAAATTTTGCCAATATTACCAAAATGTAGGGTCACATTCATTTGATATTTGAAGCCTGTATATCAATGCATTTTCAGATTTTCAATTTCATTCTGAATCTTTTTGTCAGATACTCTCCTTGACCCAACTCTAACTGTTTTATGCAGCTCTGACTGCATGTTTTCAACTGTAAATTGGATTACCGCTGTATGTTTGCATGGTAAAAAGTAGTTTTTGTCAAAAAAAGGAATTTCCCGAATGCTGAGTATAATGAAAATTCGAACGCTGTAATGTTAAATACCACAGGAGTTTACCAGGCCCAAACATACGTAGCATACGTACCTTCACGAGGGTGAACATCGAGAATATTTAGGAAATAGCAAATTTATGCTCATCACTAGCAGAAGAAATGAAACTCAGCGAACGCATACTTTTTTCAAGAACATCGTGCTTACCAGTAGATAAGATTAGCCGTTTCTGACTCTCCGCCCGAGGTCACTCTCCTCTGACCTTGGGCGGAGTGACCTCGGGCGGGAGTGACCTTGGGCGGAGTGACCTTGGAGCAGGAGTGACCTTGGAGCAGGAGTGACCTTGGGCGGTAGTGACCTTGAGTAGGAGTGACCTTGATGCAGAAGTGGCCTTGGACGGAAGTGACCTTGGAACAGGAGTGGTCTTGGGAGGAAGTGACCTTGGGCGGAGTGACCTTGGGGCAAGAGTTGCCTTGAGGCAAGAGTGGCATTGGGCGGAAGCGACCTTGGGTGGGAGTGAACCTCCGCATGTGCGACCTTGAGAGTGAGTGACATTGAGTTGTAGAGAGAGTGAGGCCTTGAAAGCGTGTTCGAAGTTGAAGACACTTTCGCGCATCACATCGCTATAGTGGGGGTTGTTTGCGTTTCTATAAATACGAAATCCGCCACATGCACAAGCATAGTTCTTGCAATAACATTGAACATTGCTTCTGCTCAATTAAGTTGGGAAAGTTTGAGTGTGATAAAAGGTTATCTGTTTTATGTAAGTACGCTTATTCATATATTATTCACACCCCTTTCACTTGGACGAAAATAATGGCTGCCCCCAAAATCGATTTAGCTTCAATTAATGATAAAATTAATGAGGAGAATGAAATTGTAAAGCAAATTTTGATATCATCACTACCCCTCAATAAAAGCTATATTATCAAGAAAATCTCATTATGCGGAACCAGATTCGGTAGGAGTGGTACTGTAATTTTATATGATGAAGAGACCGGAGTGAGTTTGAAAACTTGGTTACCAAAAAGAGTTGTTGACAAATTTATGGAGAGCGATATTGATGAGATAAATTCTTCCAACGGTCTTTACACTTTAACATACTTGGGACAGAGTGAGCCTCTATTCGCGGGTGCAAAGACGAGAGCTCTCATGAAATTCGATGTGAAAAAAATGTAAAGATCATTTCATAGTATATAGGAAAATTAATTTAATCATAGGGATGCATCAGCCACGTTTAGTGTAGTGTAAATGGGTTTGAATACTATATGATAATCCTTACATATTATATATAACCTATTATATCACACTCTGATGAAGGTTGAATTTGTATAGGTGAGTGGTGCTACAGATATATAATTCGATTAATGATCAATTCTTTAACTCATTCACTCGTGACCTAAGTATTTTTTCCATTTATGTTGCAGGATAATTCACCTCAATAGATGTGCAATATGTGGATGCATTATTCCAGTCAATCTTGGCCGGTAGCGGAAGATATCAAGTCGAGTGTGAGGAGGCTGAAATGTCAGTTTGCCGATTTAGAGCAGGACGCAATGCATGCAGCTAATTATGACACGAGTGTGTGCTTTGATCAAAAACAGGTTCAGAACCTCTGCAAGCAAGCTGAGCAATACAAATTGGGGTTCCTACTCTGCGCCCGTTTCGAGTATAATAACATCAATTTAGAGGAATTTGTTGAAGCCATGGTTGAAGAGGACTTAGTGCAATTCCTGTATGAAATTTCCGATTTTTTGCCGAACCATCTCGTCCGGAAATATAGCATTGGAATAACTCCAGAGGTGTCTGATTTAGAAGAAGAAGAAGAAGGACAAGAAGAAGAAAAAAGCTTATAATTCTGCATTAAATCTCCACACAACGGCTACTTCAACCTCTGAATACTTATAAGATGTATGGGTACTATAATTGTTAATGTATATGTATAGAAATAAAACAATAAATATGGTACATATTCGTTTTATTCAGTATAACAACAACGGATTCTAGAACAATAACTATGATATCAAATATATAAATCAATCTCGAAATGGCCGTTATTATTAACATGAACATGATACATTCAATGTCTATAAAGCACCCATCTGTATGGAACCATCCAGTGCACTATAAGTTAAATATGCATCATGAAGAATAAGTGCGTAAACTTTGGTGTGCGATGGAAACTTCGTTTTTCGTGTTTCAAATTCCAACTTGATGTCGACAGTGGAGGATTTCATCGCATCGGGTTGGTGGTTGCAGTCAATGATGAATAGTGGGTTTTCTCGGAATTCCTCGATGCTCATCATTGGTTCGCTCATGTCTTTGCCGTAGTAACTACGTTGGAAGTTGTCATATGCATAATAGGCTACTGCATCTAATTTCTTATCGAAATCCAAATTCCATCGCTCGTATGGATAAACTTCGGAAATCAAATACAGGCGAATATTGCTCAC